AAAAAAAAAAAAAAACAAAAAAAAAAAAAAAAAAAAAACGAAAAAAAAAGTAAAGTAATATTAAAACTGACAATAAGTGAACACAACGACAAATCCAATAAAATCTTTTTCAGCTACGATATGAATCCTGATAAATACACTAACAACGAAAAGTTGTATAATTTAAAAAATTGAATGAGAATTTATTTACCATACTTACAGAAAAAATAAGATTCAAACTCCAAACTTTGTCTAAAGTTGCTTAAACCATAAAAACTAGACATTTCAAGCCAGGAATATATTTTTTGTTATTTTTTTCCTCACTTTGCTTCCTACTATCAATTTTGCGCCTACGGTTAATAATGTACTCATCAAGCCCTCTGGGCCGAAAGTAATTTGCGGGCGCAAAGTTGGACTTTAAGCCCTTGGCAAGAAAAATCTTTTGCGCAAATGGGGCACAAACATACGAAAACCCCATGCTTCGGGCGTCATTTTTTTACTGTGTGCACTAGGTATGAAATGTTATATTAATTCATTTTGAGCCCTAAATATGGTGATAAATTTTAAAAAATAAAAATGTATATGACAACCTCAGTAGGGCATACATAAAATGGTAGTTTTCCTACGAGTTTGAAAAGTCTCTGTTTGCGAACCGAGAGGTTTGCGGCCCGAGCCGAAGGCGAGGGACGTAACGAGGTTCGCAAAGGAGACTTTTCGAATGAGTTCCGGAAAACTGCTTTTTCGCCCGAGGAAGTACCAGCCTTCCAAAACCACCCGAGGGCGGAAATTATTATTTTCACGCATCTGTAGAAATATATTTAAGGTTGTTATTGTAGTTCTTTGATCTTCTAATAACAGTTGTTTTAGATCTCATGCATAAAATGCTTCTAATTTATTCTAAAAACGTTTGTATTTGTCAGGGTATAGTAACCGCTTTTTGGTCCATGTTAAATCACGTTCATACTTTATTTCATTTGGCTTCTACAGATGAAATACTTAGTTTTTCTCGAAAAATAAGATCTATATTAGATACCCTTTAACAGATTTTGATCACCCTTAAAATTTAATTTATTTCTTACATATGTAGTAGCACGATAAAAGTTTTTGTCTATACCTTACTAAGGTTGTAATATCGTTTTTTTTTTTTTTTTTCAATTAGTTGCTTGTTTTGTGTGTCAATGAATGCGTAATCGATTTTAGATATAGAGATCTTACGGAGCAGTGATTAAGCATTATCGCCTGTTTAAAATTATGGTGATACCTTTTTTTGTTTCAAACATATGTTACTTTTTTACTTGATAATACGAAGCTGTTGTTGGAATGTAAGACACAGATTGGATGCCCATCGACAGAGTTTAATTATCTATGGCGTTAAATCTCTATTTTTTATCATTTCAGTAACTTAAAAATAGATTATAAGGTTTTTGATATTATAATTTTATTATGGTTATAACGACTTTCACTGTTTCGAATGCGCTTTCCGACATCGGGCATGTTAAAGGGTTGGGTGTGCCCTCAGTAGGAAAAGTAGGATTTACCACATAAGCGCCATCGCTACGCAGCTATCTTACGTCCCTCGGGCCACAAAATAGCCCCGGTGACGATGGTTCTTATCCGACGAAAACTATTTTTTCTATTTTTACGGTGAAGAGATATTATTCTTATTTTCTACATCACCACATTATTTTTTGTTCTTTTATTTAACAAGATCCGTATTATAGCTACTAAGATATTATAACATTTGTTGTTGTGTCAAATTATTGTAATTATTAATATTTTTACTATTATTTTTTTTTCAAATAAGGAACTTATCAGTCAAAGGTTAATGCAGTGTAAGAAATTGTTATTTTTCAGATATATTCATGAGTAAACTGCTGGCCAAAAAATTGACAGCAGTTTTTCCATATTTACCAATAAACAAATTATTTCTAATATAATTAACTGTGTACCTGAATTAATGATTAATATTCTAGATGTTTCCTATCAAGTAGTGAAGACTGCCATGGAAAAACATTGCAGCACAAATTCCACAAAAGTCATTAATGGTGATGGGAGAGGACGCCATAAAAACCGTCCTTTTAGTTATCCAGTAGAGATGCTGGATAAAGTTTGACAGCACATCGCCCGATTTCCGGTCATAGAGTCCCATTACTGCAGGGGAAATTCGCAACGATACTACCTAGAATCAGGACTCTTAGTAACAAAAATGTATCGAATGTACGTCAAAGAGAAGCTTTTGGAAGAGAGTAAAAGAGTACAAGAAAATAAAGAAAATACAAAGAAGGAAAAAGAAAATCAAGAAGACGAAAATGAGGAGGATGAAGAAGCTAATGAAGAAGAGAACAACAAAAAGCAAGATGAAGAAGATGATGACAAGGAAGATGATACGGGTGACAAAAATGGACAGAACCAAGAGAATGACGGAAATGAAAGGAACAAAATAGGAAAAAAGAAACAAACATTTGACGTTGTACACGAAAACATCGTAAGAAAACCTATGTACACAAAAATCTCTAACAGCGAGTTCAATTACGGATTTTTTAAGCCAAAGAAGGATCAGTAAGTCTACTATATAGGAGCATAAAAAGAATTGATGTTGTTACAGCATATATTTAATTTTTGAAACACCTTTTCTTGCTAATGAGATGGTAGAAAATCTTAATATAATTTTATACAGAGATTCATGTTATGCAGTTTTTTCGCCTTCTAATCTAGAAATAACACCTTTGCCACGTGATTTTGGGTTTACCGGCGGAAAAATAACATACGTAACTTTTTAGCAACGGCTTCTTTACTTAATGTACTAGTTTGATTATAATACTTAAGCTTCATTTTTTTTTTTTTTTTTTTAAGTGCATTGATTATAGCAAAAAACTTAGATTCTAATGAAAAAAAGGCTTATGAGAAAATTTGTTTTTAATTTGGATTTATACGTACCAAAAAAAAAATTTTTTTCGAGCCATAGACTTATACCAATTTTTTTTCATTCTATATGCCCTCGGTATACCATTGTGATTCTGTTTTTCACCCCCCTAAAGATTTTGAATACTGATTTTCTAAAGTTAAAAGCCGGACTTAATTGAAAAATGTCAGAAACTGGTTAAATCGTACCAGGTTTCAAAGAAATCTTATTTTTCCGCATTCTATAGACGTTAGAAAACATAAAACACCCCTAATATAAATGATTCAGGGTGATTTACCCCTCTAAAGTATCCCCATAAATAACAGAACCAAAAATCGGCGCAAAAATGTCTTATTCCACCTCGGAAATCCTCTTTCGGGGTTTTTTGAGGTCACTGATCACAAATCAGGGGTCTTTTTACAAGCAGGGGTAGTTTTAACCCCCCGAAATCACATCAAGTTACAGTAAATCGTCAAAAAATGCATCATTTTCCCTCTAAAATCGTTTCTCAGGGATTTCCTAGGTCGCTAATAACGAATTTGAGGTCCATTTAAGAGCAGGGGTGGTTTTACCCCTCAACATTTTCTCCACTTTAAGAAAATCTTAAAAATTAATCATTTTGCTTCCAAAATTTTAAGCCTAAGAAATGATTTTAAATGCAAAATGATGAATTTTTAAGATTGTCGCCAAGTTAGGGAGATTTCAGGGGATGAAACTATCCCTGCACTGAAATGGGCCTCGAATTCGTCATCAGCCACCTCGGAAGCCCCTGAGAAACGATATTGGTGGCAAAATTGTGAATTGTTAAGATTTTCTAAAACTAGGGGTGATTTTAGGGGATAAAACAATCCCTGCACTTAAATGGACCTCAAATTGGTCATCAGTGACCTCGAAAATCCCTGAGAAACGAGTTTGGAGGCAAAATGATGAATTTTTTAATGATTTACTGCAACTGGAGATAATTTCGGGGGGTTTAAACTATCCCTGCTTGTTAATGGATTCCCGATTCGTGATCAGTGGCCTCAAAAAAACCCGAAAGAGGATTTCCGAGGTGGAATAATATATTTTTACACCAATTTTTGGTTCTGTAATTCATGGGGATGCTTTAGAGGGGAATATCACCCTAAATTATTCATATAAGGGGTATTTAATGTTTCCTAATGTTTACAGAATGCGGAAAAATAGTATTTTTTTGAAACCCGGTTCGATTCAACCAGTTTCCGACATTTTTCAATTAAGTCCGGCTTTTTACTTTAGAAAATCAGTATTTAAAATCTTTACGGGAAAGGAAAACAGTGTGGCAAGCCCTTAAATGCTTGCATACAATTTCTTCCTCATTCCTGATGTTATATAAAATGAGAAAGAAAGTGGTTCAAGTCTATGCCACAGAAAAAAAATTTTTATTTTTTTTGAAACGTGTAAATCCAAATTAAAAATGGATCTCTTCATGTATCGGATAGCCAACTAATTTTTAAAAAAATTTAAAGTCTAAAGTAATTGTTTCATTAAAATTGTAGTAATGAAATAAAAAGATGCAACTTAAAACTAGTGTCACTTTGAGCCCTTGATAAGAAAAACTATACACGCCATTTGAGGACCCAAGTACACTAACTGCATCCTTCGAGCATGCTAGCTTACCTTACGCTACAGAGACGTAATGTACTACTTATTTGGTATTCAGCTAAAATATTTCAATTCGATTTACTAAATTACTTGCCTATCTTATAGACTGACTTGTTCTGTCTCCAGCTGGTGTATGAAGTTAACAATATTAAAAAAAAATATTTTCTCGCACAAATATGGGTCAGAAACAATTCTTTCATTTTCAAAGGATTAATCAAGCCTTAATTTGGTTTTATTAATAAAAAACTAGTGAAAAAAAGTAAGTTCTACGATTTTTAACTGAATGATGCAAAACCGTTGTTGTGCCCATTGCCAGTTTTTTTTTTGATAGTTTAGAATTGAATAACTCATGAAACCCATACTTAGACTATATTATTGTTCTTTGGAATGAAAAGAATTCTTTTCGTCGACTCTTATTACCTCAATAAAGTAATTATTCATCTCATAATGAATGTTTCAAAGGAACATACATAACATATTATATCATAAAAACGACTTAGCTGATTACTCAGATGATTCTATGATTTTGCATTATTTATATGCAATTGCAGTGCCTATTTTCCTCCGCAAATTTTCGATCAATCAGCCTAATTATTGACTTAATGTATTATTTGAGATTTGAAAAAAGGACGTTAACTATTATTTTTGCAAGAGAATACTTTTTTCTCACATTGTAAACTTCATAAATTAATTTTAATGAAAGCAATTTAGTCAATAAAGTAAGCAACTGCAATGATCTGCCCTTTATGGTTTTGAACTTCTTTGTCTGGCCTTGATAATTTGCAAAACTATTTTCTCATAAGTGATTTTAAATAACAAAATGAAAAGTTAAGTTTCACAGTGTTTACTGTTAGTTAAATAACAGAAAAAATTACAATGAAAATATAATATGAAAGACAAACATTTGATAAATATCGCATGAGAAAGCTCTGTACTTGTTAATTGCATATCAGGGTCTTTGTTGATACGATTCCTTTTTCTCCTTTATTTTAGGTTAAATTTAATAACGGTTATTCATTGTTTTTTTGAAGCTCGATTATATGGAAGTATATTAGACTTTTTTTTAAAAAAGTTCATAGATATTTATTAAAAAGAGTAATTTTTCAACAGGTGCGAGACTTGCACAGCATATAAGATGATGTCGCCCGAAGAGAAAGTTCAAAATGAATTGACACAAAACACTCATCTTGAAATGAAATCTGAGGCAAGAAGATTGATAAATCTTGACAAAGAAGGCGCTTTGAAGGACAGCAAGATATGCTGTGCAAGCTACAACTTGCAAAAGTCTTAACCACGCCAAAATCTGAGATTTCAGTCATGTGTTATGTGTTATATGTCCAAATTATCGTTATAGAATTTCACGATTTTTGAGATGGGTGCTGCTGTAGGGCATGCATTCGTATGGAATGAGACCATACGGTATCTTGGCTCTAATGAAATTGCATCCCACGTTTTATCCTTTATTCGGCAAAAGGCTCAGACTGGTGTGAATCAATTCCGATTTTACACAGACAACTGCTCAGGGCAAAACCATAATCGAAATGTATTTTCGATTTACGTAAAGGTCTACAATGAATTGCAAGTAGAAGTTATCCATTGGTAAAATGCTTATACTTTTTTTCAAATAGTAGTTTTTGTCACAAACGTGCATCTTTCCAGGGTGGTACATAAGTCCGAGGGCAGTTGCAAATAAACGCCCGACGGACTGTTAGAACTGCCCTGGTTGGATGCACATAAGTAGCGAACGCTATTATTCCTGGTGAGGGCGAATTTACTTCTTTTCTTTTAATATCTACACTTTTTCCTTGATATAAGATCATTTGTTAATTTTGTAGTCAAGCTTAGCCCCCTGATCCCCAACCAGTGGCTTCCACCTCTGGACACTTAAAAACTTTACTCGCAAGACATTTTTAATTTTTTTTTCTACTTACACTAGTTTGCAAACTTCTTGCAGTTTCAGTAAATCTCAAATTAAATGTACAGTGGCTATTAACAATGTAACGATAAATATCAACGTAAGAAAAACCAACTCAAATAAATAATGTAATCCATGTAATTAACAAATTATTTTTTGAATCATATTGGTACCCATGAGTATACACTGTTTATTATAAAAAAAGAAAAATATGGTGTGATAAGTAACAAACTTTTGTACACGTTATTAGAGACATGAATTATTTATCTCATTATCTGCGTATTTTTAGAATACACAAGTAAAAAAACACTATTAATGAACGAATTATTAACAATAAATACATAAATAAAAATTATTAAACTGTTAATAACATTTGACTAAAAGTTTGTGACGTACGACGGCATAAGAAAAATTGTTGATAAAACTGGATATGTAATAATAAAAAACAAATACTTGTAAAACTTTTATTATCACATAAAAAATACTAAGACTTTTTCATATTTCCATCTATTATAATATTAAATTTCTGTTTATACAACTATTTTCGATTCCCAGATAATAACCGAACATACATTCTTTTTTCTGTACAGATACGATAATTTCTTGTTAATTGTATATTCGATTGCTAAAACAAATTTTTAAAAAACCGACTTTTTCCGCCATGATTAGAATCTTAAAAAATAATAAAAAATAATTCTACGTACGTAAAATATTAAGTTGAATTTTATTATAATTGAAATATTTTAAAACAAAGAATTCTAAAACAACTTAAAAATACAATACAATGATTTATTCAAAATCGATAAAATTATAGTAAAACAAACAAATTGATATTGTTGAAACATGTCAAGCATGGTATTTGGAAATTAAAAAAAAGTGTTGGCCAATAAAAATAAGCCACAAAAATCGTACGATCCAAAGAATGGTACATATAAATATTTAGTTATAAGCCCAGCTGTATACCCCAGTCGACGAATATCTGTGGTATGACTGATCTCTCTCTCTCTCTCTGTCTCACTCTCTCTCTCTCTCTCTGTGTCTGTGCGCGCGCGTGTGCATGTGTGTGCGAGAGAGAGAGAGAGAAATAATTGAATTGAATTGAATTTATTTAATAAGGAGCTAAGAGCTAGTCGCTCTTTGTATCTCGGCTTGTTATGTCTATTACATATCTCAATATAGTAGGAGCCATTTACAACCTACTTATAGAAAGACATAGAGACAGAAATTGCTTTGTTATTGAGTAAATACTTAAGTTATCAATTGTGATATTTCATGAAATTTTTGGTATAATGTATAAGTAGAAAAAATAATGAAAACGAAAAAAAAATTTTTACATAGCTTTCTCGAAGTTGGGCACACCCAGTCTGAGGTTGATTCCATGCATGCAAGGATAGAGGGCCATGTCAGAGATAAAACTATTTTTTCTCAAAAGGAATCAGTTCAAACAATTAAAGAAGCTAAAGAAGAAAAACCCTTTTACAATGTGAAAGAAATTGAGCAAAACGACATTTTCAACTTTTATCCTGTAGCAGATTTTTTTGTATGGAAGTCGGTCAAAATAAGAAATGCCCGAGAGATACGTATTGTGCCAAATAGTTCAGATTTATTCGTAAAATACGACTTTTTCAATGATACACCGAAAATCTGTAAGATTTTCAAGAAAAATTATTCTCTTTAAAACGTCGTTACACATAAATTAAGCGTAGCTTACAAACAATTGATACCGATAAATGAAAAAAAGAAAAAAGACCTTAATTCAATGCTGAATAAGAATCTCGTACCCATAGATTTTGTAAGTAAATTTAAGAAAGTTCTTACGATATAAGAAAATATACATACATACAATATTTCGTCATGTAATAGTTATTAGTTATGTTGTACGAGCTTCGCGCGATTCAACTATCAGTGCCGATTGCATACCGATGTAATTGAACCAGAAAAATAAAATTTTCCTTTGATTTTTCAATGATTTTTTCGTCTTCGAAGTCCATTAAAATTAAAGCTTGTCTAGTTAATTTCTGATATTATTCAAAATTTATTTAGATAACTTTAAAAGTAACTTGTATGTTTAATATTTTAATACGCATCACTTTCTGATGATAATGTTAATTTTTAAATAATTTTGTTAGTTTTAGCGATTGTTTTACATCTGTACAGTACAATAATTTGAACAAATTAAACAATTTTACAGTAGTTTGAGTATTTTTTAACATAAAAAGTGAAAAATCTTCCAAAAAATTTCTTTAGTATCACAATTCTTTTTTTCAACTTATAATCACATCAATAGTCTAACTATTCATGATTGTGATATTGTCAAATTCATCAACTATTTTTTATTTTAACTAGTCTAAATAATGTATGTATTAAAAAATAGGCTTAAAGATCCAGTTGATAGCTCATAACCAATCATATAACAAATATAGAGACTAGTGCCTCATAACAATCAATCGTCCAAGATGAGAATCATTTTTAAAAGATTTTTTTTTAATTCTTTGATTCACCACATTACCATGGTATATAATTTGTTCTTTCAGTAAACACATCGTAAAAGATCTGACTGAATGGTATATTTTATTGTTTGTACACATTATTGTAATTTTCCTTTGATTGTATTATTTCACTAGTTAACATCGTTTTATAGGTAGCGTCAAATGAACTAATCAATCAAAACTAAGTAATATTCAACGATAAGTTAATACCTGTGATAATTACTTGTACCGAATAGTTGCAAATAAGATAATGTAGGGTAAAAAATATTGTTTATCAACATATTGTATGGGAATTTTATATTTAAAATGTATAACAGTAAAAATAAGATCATTGTACAGCCAATTTGAAGATGACTGTATTCTTTTATCATGGTTATAAAATGCAATTTAAGAGCGTGAAGACAGAATGAGTTTTAGAGATACGTATATAATTTATATAATATTACTCATTAAAGGAGGAAAATTGTGGAAGAAAAAAAACGGGTAAAACATAAGTTGTACAACTTGTAACATTTTTTTTTTTTTAGTTAAAAAAAACTAAGTCTTCTAAGCAATGGTTTGCCGATGAGTGTCAGGTTTTCAAAACTCTACGAAAAATAATTTTATCGGTAAAAGATTATTGGTAAATACCGTAGTTAGTACATTCACATCACATCTTGCCCAAAACTGACTCATAAACGCCTACTATGCGGGCAGTAGTAGACTTAAAGTAAAAATAATCACAGTTAAAATAACCTTTGAACAAAAACAAAATGTAAGGTAAGTTTGATGTGTTTGATAAACATTTAAAGGAGGCCAAGAGTTGTTTTCTTTTTGTTTCAGGACATTGTTTGTATAGTGTTATACCATTGAGTACTTGTACGTAAACAAAATCAAACTGAGTTATTTTTACTGTGACATACATATTTTAATCACGTATGGTTTGTACACATAACATGAAGCCGAATACTGTCATTTTATCGATAACACGTGGAGAAATAATAGGAAAAATTGATATTAAAAAAATTATTAGTTTTCCTGAGGTATCTTGTGTAATGATAATAGTCACTATAAAACTTATAACACCACTCTCCTGCACATGCGCACTTACAGTAAGTGACGTAAGCGTACCTGTACCTGATATAAAACAATTCTCAAGTTTGACTTTTTCCTAGCTATTTTCTCAAAATTTAACATGTTGACCCTAATTAGTTTTTTAAAATAATAGATTACTTATATCTGAAAGTATACGTACCAATTTAATTTCTGAGCCCACAGCTTTTTATTGCAGTATAGTAGTTAACTGAAGTTACAGTTCACTAAGGTTACATGTTTAAATGACAAATTTTCACAACTGATTTTCTCGAAAATATGTATTGACTTACCTATTTTCTTTATAAAAAACTCTGGGATACTTCATTTACATAATCAAGTGAATTTCCGAGCTACCTTAGCTGAAATTTGGAAACGTAAAGAAATGTAAGAAAAAGTGAGCATGTGTGAAGATCCGTCGTGATACGCAAGAAAACATAAGAAAACGTTAAAAACTGTAATATTTTCATAGATTTCGAAAGTTTTTACATTCTATTTTATTGCGTTTTATTTTTTTACGTTTTTTTATGATTTACCACGCACTAAAAATCGTTCATTGAAAAAACACTTGCTTAATTTATGTCTCCCAAAAGCATTTTCAACTATCGTTGCAAGGAAAAAATGTTTATTAATTTTAATAAGTAAAGCCAATAATCTTATACAATGAACCAATTACAGAAATTGACTGATAACTTCATACTTTTGTAAAAAAATGTTGATAAGGATAGAATATGAAAACTGATCTAATGTGTGTTTCAAGTTAGGAAGTAAAATATTAAGAAAATAATTAAAGCTTAAATTTTTGATTTACCTTTT